CAAGCATATCATCCGCAAAAATCAGTATCCTTCCAACTCCTGGTGCTTCTAGGCTTGCAATCTTGCTCGTATACACGTTGAAGAGCACAGGCGAGATGGCGGATCCCTGTGGCAGTCCTGGGGCCAAAGAGCATGGTTCAGAGGTCCACGAGCCCAGTCGGAGAGCAACCTGACGTGAATACAGGACAGCTGCATCCCAATTCACCAGCCATGGATTGACTTCCTTCTCCCTCAGTGCTGTCATTAAGATGTCGTATTTCACTCTGTTATAAGCATCCTCGAGATCCAGTCCTACCGCCATAGTTTCCTGTCTGTTCTGGAAACCTTCATAGACGTCAAAAGCAAAAGTGGCCGCATTTGCCCAAGTGTCCTTTCCTGGCCTGTAACTTCCCAGACCTCTTAAGAGAAGCTTCCCCCTTTCCAAAAATTCGTGTAACTTTACAGCAACTATCTTCTCCAAGACCTTCCCAAATGTGTTTTGTAAGGTGATGATCTCAAAGCCACTAAGCTTAGAATGATCTTTAAAAGGTTTTGGTAGTGGGATTAGATAGCTGTGCACCCAGTCTTGCAGTACTGATGCTGTCTTAATACTCTGGTTAAAACAGTCGGCCATCTCTGCCAGGTCTACATCGCTCAAAGCCTTCATGTGACAATACCTGACACCATCAGGCCCTGGTGCAGTGTCTTTTGCTTTTTTTCAAAATTTGTTTGATATCTTCTACTTGTATCATGTCTTCATAATGCACATATTCACTGAAGTTATGAAATAGCAACAAAAATAATGTTATAATTAGAGGTCGGCACAGTTTGAGGAACTCATGTATTTAAGGCTTTCCACAACATGAGGATCTGTATTTAAGGGTCGCGGTGCTGGGAAAGTTCACTGATCTAGACCACCAAGCAGCGGTTAGAATAGATGGCGAGACATCAGATTGGTTTAACATCAAGCAAGGAGTCCGTCAGGGCTGTGTGCTGTCACCCTATTTGTTTAACCTGTACACCGAAAAATATAATGAGAAATGTCAGATATGATATAGCCAGAGATCAATATAATGCCTTAAATATCGGTGGTCATGAAATACCAGAGATCCGATATGCCGATGACACAATATTGCTATCCACATCTCAGATAGGTATTTAAAAAAATGTCATAACCTCAACCCAAAGAAATAGTGAAAATCACAACTTAAATCTTACCATAAGAAAAAAAAAAATTAATGCATTCAGATAAAACACTATGGAGAAAGAAATATATGTCAATGGGGAAAGCTTGGGTTCTGTGGACAATTTTGAATATTTTGGATAATTGATTACCAACAATGGTGACAATAAAAGAAATTAAACCACGCCTATCAATTGCTATTTAAAGACTAAAACAACGGAATAAACTGTGGAGTAGGACAGACAGAACTACAAACATCTGATTTCCAAGAGCATGCATCTTTCAAATTGCAACATAAACATCTGACACCTGGACATTTACTAAACAAGCTGAAAAGCGCATAAATGCCTTTGAATACAAATGTTATAGACGGGCTCTAAGAAAATCATGGGTAAAGAAAATAACAAATGCATCCATACTTCAAGAACTGAATATTGAATATTGAATACTGAATATTGGCAGCAATGGACATGGAGGAAAGAATGCTGTTCACGCTTCACCAGCACTTAATCAACTCAGGGATTGATTATGGATTGGGGTTACTCACTGTCTCGAAAAGTCAGATAGAGAAGCCGGAGCGCATACAGAATGAAGCTATGCTGGTAATCCTGGAATGTACAAGAGACACTCCGATTGTGTGCATGCAATACATTCTTGCATTGCCGATTTTTGCAGATAGGCTAAAGGTGCTGCAGGCTAAGTCATACCCCAGGGTAGCCGCTGACAAAGAACACCCTCTGTATGACGCTTTTGCTGCAGATTAAGGTCAGAGGCAGAAAAAGGGAAAGTCGTGGATGTCTCAAGCAGAAAACACAATAAGTCAATGATGGTTGCTGGAGAACATTAGGCGAGAAGAGGAGTGGGTAAGAGTATCATAGAAAAAGTCTTATCTATGTAGGGTCATGATCACATTAGGACGGTAATGCAGCGGGTGCTAGGGAGGTGGCAGTCCAACAGTTGATTCACAACAATTCACGCCCAGATTATCTGATTATCGATACAGATGGTTAGGTGATGAGTGGAAAGAAAAGTGTCTGGGAGTTCGTAGCGAAAGGAACATCTTTAGTGTAGGACAGCTTAGCATACGATACCACAACATCTAGCATGAAAATGGTTGTGGAGGCTGTAACTGCAGCTTTCCGGTGGCTAAAGAACAAGATGCATAAACATGTCATAACTGTAACAGAATCTGAAAGCATGCTGAGAAAGGTAAAGGCAGGGATGATTCGAGCAGAGTGGCAAGCTTCACTGGGAAGGTCATGGGTAGTGCGCATACTTCGGATCTTTTCTCCAGGCAATGCTGGGGTGGTGGGGAATGAACAGGCAGACAAATTGGCTGGATCTGCGCCACTAGGTGGTGGATTGATGATACAGGACAAGGCAGATGTGTTCAGGGTCCTTTGGGAACAAGCAACGGAGTCAGGAGCGAAAAAAAGATTATTATGACCTGGAGAGAATGAGGCATCAGGGTGTAACCAGAGGGTATAGCCGGCTCACTACACTCAGATGAAAAGGCAAGACGGACATATAACCAGATTACTACCGGTACCATTAGTATTTGAACTCTGCGCAGGCTGCTGAGGGTGAGGACGAAGCATGCACTGGGAAATATTGAAATATTTTGGTCACTTGAAGCGCACAAAAGTTAAGAGAGAACTGGTATGGTATATGCCTTGGAAGAGAGGAAGGAAAAAGAAAACATGGATGCGGGATATGGCAGATGATCTCCAAATGGGTGTATCGGCCGCAGGACATCTTGCTTGTGATCGAGGAGTTTTCCGGATGGTATCATGGGAGCAAGGTTCTGCAAAAGACATGCTACTGACTGATACTGTAGAGAGAGAAAGAGAGAGAGAGAGGGAGAAAGAGAGAAGATAAGATTATAGAAGAGAGAGAGAGAGAGAGAGAGAGAGAGAGAGAGAGAGAGAGAGAGAGAGAGAGAGAGAGAGAGAGAAAGTTTACAAGAGCTCTTTTCATTTGGGAGGGAAACTTTGATGTTAAACTGCTAGTGCTGCTAAGCAAATGTTACCAGAATTTTAACATTACAAATGGCCAAACAGTGAAAACTGATACTTTTCCTTCTATTCCAAGAGCACCAGGCTGTAAGCAGATGAAATTGGGAAAAATGAGCAAAGAAACTGCATCAGCTATTAAGTTGTGGGCAGAATTTAAGCCTATGCTTTCTGTAGTGAACATTTTATTAGAATTTCCAAGGTAATATAAAGGGGCCACGCACGACTTGTGTTTGTTGCGGTTGGGTGCTGTGTAAAGTAAACTCAACTGTGATGTCGTTGTCTAGTCTGCGATTTAATTTATTATATATATATATATATATATATATATATATATATATAGAGGCTCTCCTTTAAATAACGATCGCTAGCTGGAATGCCGATGGTCGCTTAGTGGGAGTTCACTCCCTTGGTTGCAGTGCAAATACGGACCGTAAAGAGGGAACGAAACAAATGACATGCTTACCTATCATCATACCGTTGCGTGGGGTAGGGTTAGGGTTAGAGTAGGGTTAGATGTGATTTCTCCTAAAAATGACGGCAATAGCGAGGGGCTGGTGCCCAATTGATGGCGAATTGTCCGTTTGAGTAGCATCCACAGTCCATCAGTTGTTTGGGTGTGTATGTCACTGTGCGCGATTATTTGGAACTCCTGCATCAAAATTGTCACATCTAACCCTAAACCTACCCCTAACCCTAACCCTACCCCTAACCACGCAAATTTATTGGTCATTAAGGCATACAGATCTGCAGGAGCCACATCCGTGGCAACTAATAGCACTTTTATCTATGGATATATTTACTAAAAAACAAACCCAGATTTCCCCGAGGCGTCAAATAAACACTCAGATCTGGGGGAAACCAAATAATGTGTTTATTTTATGTAAATTGGGTGGTGTTCTTAAGTGATTTACTGCAATATGAATAGTGTGTGAAACGGGAAATTAATATATTTGAAAAAAAAAACATTTAAAGATTGGGGGGGGGGGGGGGGGATGTTGGAACATTTGACACACAGAATGTTGTTTAATACTAGCAAAGCAGCATCTTCTAGTCATCTGAGGTCAAAGCATTTGAGTGGCCCCAAAGACATGTGTGAGCATATGAGAAAACTACCACATAGGTTATGTCTGCTTAAATATTAGTGTTATAACTGTCTCTTAGGCATTTTTGTTGGAGGGAAGGACAAGTAAAAGTTCCTAATTATACCATTGTGTAAAATTAAAGGACCCCTTTCCACTCCTTTAGGCGTATTGGACATGTAGGGCTAGACCTATATTTTATGGAACAGTCGCCTCAGTCAACACTTGGTGCGTGATGAGGTCAGCATCACGCCAGCCACTTTTACTTCCCAGGTCTGAACCTGGTACCCATGCAAGCTTTTGTCAACCTGAAAGCCAAGGTTATTTTTGAAAAAAGTCAGGCTCCACCATGGCTTCTCCCAAACCATTGTAGAACAACAATAATAATGATAGTTTGCTTTTATAACTTGCATCAAACTTTGCTAAGCTGATATACTTGAGTTATTGTTTAATAATCACGTCTTAGATCGGACCTGTGTTCTCCTCACATTCTTGTCAGATGGCCAAACCATCCGAGGACTGAGCTTTGTTGTCTTCCGCTCGCTTATTTCCCCTATCATGTATGCCAGCTGTCTTTATGTTTTCTTATTCATTTCTTTTCACAACAGGCTAAACAGTCTTTGATTGTCTGTGTCTAACTTATTTGATCATTTTACAGGTTTAAACTGTTTCTTAAAGGACTGCTACACTTTAACTGTTACTGACTTCCTGTTACATCTAATTGTTATGTTTTATTTTCTATAGGTCTTTAATTGAAGCATCACCAAGACTGACCATTGAAACTCATACAATTTCTGTGGAAACGAGTGAATCTGCTGTAGTTTTTCAATTAGATGGTTTAACACTGAGACCTCAGACTTGTCGTGGGCTTCGATGGAGCAGTCAGCTGGAGCTTCACTTGACACTGCAAGCTGAATTGGTATTCTTTGTCTCACTGGTTCTTGTATAGCATGATTTTAGTTTGCTTGTTAATTTTATGAAATAATTCAAAATTTTGTTATTAATAGTCAAAGTAGAAACATTTTTTAATGATAAAATCCTAACCTATACAGTTTGTGGTGACTGAAGCAGCCATGTTGCCCTAAATTTTTAAGTTGAAGGACGACCAGCCCCCCACACTCCCTTTTTTTTCCCTCCTTCATACATTGCCCTTAAAGGTTATAAATATGGACATTTAAGACAGTGCAGGAACACAGAAAATATGGAACTCTCTCTTTGCTGGGTACTTGTGATGTGGTTAAATTATGTTCATATATTTACATTGACAAAAACTTAATTAGCATTATGCATTCTGTAATTAATATAGTAGATCGTTTTTAAATATTGGCAAAAATATATTGCACCCTTCATTGTCTAGTATGTTTCACTTTTTCTTCTTCAGCAATCATTGTTTGCTATGCGTCTTTTCCTGTGTGGGTAATAAACATCATAGTAGGCCTTCACCTATACCCCATAGTTCATATCTTGTGTGGACCCTCTTGTGGGTCAGATTTATTCTCTTGGACTCACAAAGTACAGGCATTCTGGTGAAACATGGCAGTCAATAAAATATACATTTTATTGTTTGGTCCTCATTATTTAACACACACACCCCCCCCCCCCCACAAGTGCGCCAGCCTCCTTATATAGACAATGCATGACTAATCTTACCATGACAAATTAACTGTGTAGTCCCTGTGAGATCTCAGTGTGTATAAATAAGTGCACATGCTGTACAATTTCTCTGTGGCTTAGGCATCTCAAATGCGCTTTGTAGTGCTGGGTTGGATCTCGGCTGCAGGGGATTTAGCAGCAGACCATCTATTGTCAATTTTGACAGTGATATTGAGAGTTGACTGCTCAGAAATGGCAAACTACTGAAATTAATTTGTTTACCCCCCCCCCCTCATGTGATATGGTTGGTTCTGCAACTTCATGTAAAAAATACGCAACAAACATAACATTTCCTTTTTTTGGGTGGCTCCTCTGATAAGGACAATTTTCATAAGCAGTGGCCTGTTTGGGCTGCTCTTTTGATTTCCAGTGGCTGAAGAATCAAATGGTTTGGTTAGAATGGAAAAAAATCATCTAGCAGAGTTTACTTCATGAGAACAGTAGACTACAGGTAAAAAGGGTGGCCGAGAAATGGATGTGTGGAGGAAGTGAAAGAGACACTACCAATATGCAGTATAACATTAACACAAGTTACGCAACTAGCAAAAGACAGAAAACTACATCTAATTCCTCTCTGCAGTGCTTTATGGCGTATACAGTACAACAAATGAAAGTAGCAAATAGATTTTAAACATGTGCATTATACTGGTTTACCATCATCTTAGTTAGTTAGTTAGTTAGTCTTTCCTCTTGTGTCGAGTGCGGCACATAGGGCAGAGGTCATGACTCTCCATGCATGGCAGTTCGTTGCAATCCGTTGTAGGTCCATCATCTAAGAAGGCTAAATTACCAGTTCACTATCCAGGCAATAATTAAGAGGTATAAAATTTATTGTAAATATAATCTGTATAAAATATTTTCAATCTTGAGAGATAGACCAGAGACAAGACACTGTAATCTCTGATCTACTGTTTCACCAGCCTGTATGAAACTGTTTGTCAGCACTGATTTTATTATCATATGTTGTGATTTTTGGGGTAAATTATGTAAATCAGAATTGAAATTCCTCGTGTGGGTTATGGGGTCCCATTGTGGAGAAAAAAACAAGAATAAACCAACTGCTCCCTGACAAGCATGTCATAGAAGTCGACTAATTGGGGCCTTCAAAGTCATTGTGCATTTGCCAGAGTAGCAAAGAACCACCAACTCCACACAAATAAGCCAGTAAAACGGATGTATACGCAATAACTTAGGCCATCTCACAAAGCTAAAGTCCAGATGGACGAACAACAAGAACTTTCCGCCGGAGCTTACAGTCGGTAAACAAAGAAGAACAATTAAAATAGTGTACATACTTTTTCCATTCACTAGGGAGTTTATTTGTTGCTACTTTTATTGCTTTAAAAAAAATTCTGGAGGAAATTAGAGGAAAAATATGATTTTATGTTCTCAAACCTAAATACACTGAACAGAAAAACAACAGCTAAAGTGAGAAGCGATATTTGATGCTTGAAACATTAGTGGACTAGGAAATAAAGAACCAGAATAAATAGGATTTATGAAGTCAGACATTCGGATATTATGATTACCAGACTTTATCTAAAAGGGATAGAATTTACAACACATACTTTGTCCCCTCTGGGCTCCCTTCTTTGATGTAATAACCCATTTATAAAATATATTTCAGAATGCTGGTGACAGTAAAGGAGGTGATGCTGATACTGTAAAAACACCACATCATTATGCCTCAAACCAGGATCTGTTGGTGTCCAAAATAAAATCCTGCCAGTCTCATTGCTTTTGTGTTGGATGCGGAGCACAGATATTCAAACCCAGCTGGTAACATATTTGTTTCCTGTCTGAATAAGTGAACATTTTCAATAACTGAAATCTACTACTCCTCTTTCATTCATTTATTTGAAGCAGTGTCGGGTCCTTCTAGGTTTTGGAAAACAATGAATAGACCCACTGCTCCAGCAAGCATGTCGTAATGGACGACTAATTAGGAGGTTTGCAGCCTTACAGACATCCATCCAGGTGAGGAGTGGATACCAGAGTCCAAAGCGCCAAATCTCACATTCTCCTGTGTCGTGACACTCGATAGAAGTTGTCGGGAGCAGAATCCAGCAGCTGTCAGTGCCGAGGTATGTGCGCTTATCAGTGTCAAGTCAGATGAGACAGATGTGGTGATCTTCACAGACGGGTCAGTTATGCGAGGACATAAGAGTGCATGGGCATTTACAGCTCGCTCTTCAGGCAGAACAGTTAAGGAAGTCAGCCGTGCCTTCTCCATGACCACCAGCAGCATGACTATGGAGGTAATGTGGATGGGATCACAGGACCTTTCCCGCGTGTGTGTACTGAGTGATTCTTTGAGTATGATCTGGCGGGTCGAGGCAGGCTAGTTACGCAGACAGTGGCTTGAGTCATTGCAAAATTCTCCTTTGTGTGCAGTTACTTTCATATTCATCCCAGGGCATGCAGGCGTTTTTGGTAATGAGAGAGCTGATAGACTGGCAGGCACTGCATTAATTGAAGATGGCCCGCCCATGGATCACGCAGACATTGTCATTGCCCTTAGAGAGCTAGGACGTTCTGAGGATTTTGAAAGCAACGTGTCCACGTCACTGCTAAGAATACGCAAATTGGGAGTAAAGATCAGCACAGTCAAGCATGAGAAGCACACTGGACGCACACAGTCTTGTTAACCAACATAGGACTGGTACTATTAACCGCACGACGCTGATGAATATGTTGAGAGGGGAATCTGAATACCTATGGATGTGTCTGGAGTGCTGTGAAGATAATCTAACTCATAACTCATAATTAGGATGTTTCCTTTTTAAATCAAAGTGCATCTGCCTGAGAGGCGAGTAACCAATAGTCTGCAAACATTTGAGCCAGATCTGTAAAACAAATGTACACCCAAGTCCAGAAGTGGATAAACAACCAGAACTTCCTGCTGGAGTTTACTGCCAGTAAGGGCTGAGAGGAAGAACATTATCTATCACACACAGCAGTCTGCTTCATTTTTGTGAGGCATTGCAGAAATACAGCAAAGATTTTTTCAAATTGCTGAATATCACAAATTAGTCCTCCAATACCGCCAGTCTGTGCACATTTTCCATTTAGATTACATTAATGGTAACATGTGGAGGTTGGGGATTATGAGTTAATCATTCTCATTATGTAGCAGGTTCATTGATGAACATATATCATTACAGCCCCTCAGAAAATCTCTTGGTCCCTTGCCAGTCCTTCTACCTCATGTTTCTACCCAAGAGTCCTCTAGTGCCCTGTGCTCACCTTTATGGTGGTTCCCCCTGCCCCTTCTTGCTTTCCATTACTCTTTCTAATCTACAATGGCATTTTATTATGGCCAGAGTACTTCTGCTTCAGTTCTGCTTCTTTTTTGTAGTCCATGCCATGTGGCATTAATGTTATATCAGTCCAATGCCTTCTGTCTCATATACTTTGGATTAGTTATGACGCATATGATCTTCTCCTGCCATGATGTCAAACTGTCCAGCATTTCCAGTTTTCTCTTTCTCATGACTCGACCAGATAGTTTAGATTGTTTCCTGTTGTGGCAGTAATATTCTCTTAGTGAGTCAAGTCAGTTTCCTTTCAAGACATCTTTGTTACTGTTTTTATCTGTCTATGGTGTTTTCATCATTCATCTACAACATAACCCAACATATATATAACACAACCCTTGACCTGTTTGGGTTGTGGAGGTGTATTGATAGAAGCATTAGCACATAAAACCGGCCATCTTTCTCTGTCTTCCGCTTGATGAATAAGTTTGTGATAAATCACTTCTGTCCATTTCTTGATGTTGTCATTCTAGGTTCTTCTTTGCCCTCCTCTTCTTCGACTACCCCCAGATTTTCTTGAAGCACAGTCTTTGCAATTTAATCATGTCTCATCACGCGCCTGAACGAAGCTAGCTTGCGACGTTTCACCACTGCCAAGAGTTCATCTGTGCAGCCACATCTCTGATGCTTCAACATAATTTTTCACTGATTTACCTACTTGTTTCAGTTCAGTCACTCTTATCTCCTGTTTATTACATAATTTTATTTTATCAGATCCTGCATGAATAATCTTATTTTGCTTTCTTCGTCATGGTAGTACTGTACTGTTCAACAGAAGTCTTTTTCTTCTTCTCGTTCACCAGCTGTAAAGTTCTGGTTATTCGTTCACTTCTGGACTGCAGTCCTGTTCCAGAACTTGAGTGTTGCGTGTGCATCCGTTTGACAGATCTGACTAATTTGTATGCACTGTTGGTTCCTTGCCTCTCAGGCAGATGCACTCTGACTTTGAAGGAAGCTCCCAGATAGTCAACTTTTACAACATGCTTTTGGGTAGGCAGTGGGTCTATTCTTGTTTTCCCTATAATAGGGCCCCAGAACCCATACAGGGATCTACAGAAGTATAAAACAAGGTAAAGACTGAACGATAACCGCTCGGGTGTGAAGTTTTAGTCCTTCACATGTTAGTCTGTGACTTACAAGTTTTCTCCCTTGTCAGCTTTCTTTCCCAGACAATTTAGGAAAATTATCTAGTACCTATTTTTATGAGGCTGGCCCCACTAAAGAAATGTACTGTCAGTTTCTGCCTGTCTTTACTTTTTGTGTTGTGTATATTGAGTCTGGCGATTTAGGATCGCCTAGCTGCTGCAGTCGCTATGGACTGCAGTTTAGAATGGTTTTTTTGCCTCTGGCAGAAGAAATCCATAACCTTGCTGGGGATTCGAACCTGGGTCTACCACATGATAGCCTAGCTTTCTGAACCATTCAGCCAGCCTCTCCTCTGAGATGTACTTGTTTTGAAAAAATTATGTTTGTGCTGTGGATTAAACGTAGACTGCTGGTGTGTTAGGCAAAGAAACTAACCACTGTGCCAGTGCAGCTCCTTACAGAAAATAACCTTGGCTGCCTGGTCGGCACAGCCTTAAATTTGTGGGAAATAAAGATGGCTGGCATGATGCTGACCACATCACCCACCAATTGTGGTCTATATAATATAGGTTTTGCACTGTCCATTACTTTAATATATATGTTGTTACTGCATATTTCAGTATTATAATCTTAATTCCATATAAAAACTTTCAACAGCAATTTTAAGAGAGTGCTGCCTCTGCCAACGGAGAATTGGACAGATTTTGCTGATATCTGGTTTTGTCACAATCACCAGTCAAATGGCAAGCCCCATGATCACATGCATCACAGCCACTCAGGAGAGAGCACCCTGCCAGCTGACCTAAAGAAGGTCAAGATCTCTGGTCTGACCCCTCGACCTGAAGATTGTCTAGTGAGTAGTTTGTATCTGCTAGTAAGTGCGAGGCACGTGGAGCCCTGTGCTGTTCTTTGCACTACGGACAGGATCATTTGCAAGCGCTGTGGAAACTTCCTAGGATTTGTCAAACTGGGAGGTAAGTTTATTATTGGGGTTTTCATCTTTCCTTTACTGATGTTTTTTTTAAAATATTTCTTTCCCTCGGTGTGGGTTCTGGGGCTCTGTTTTTGGGGAAAGAATAACCCACTGCCTTCTCTAACACTCATGTCGTAAAAGGCGACTAATTAGGGCGTTTTCCTCCAATATCGGAACACATCTTCCGGAGAGGTGAGGAACCAACAGTCTGCATACAAATAAGTTGGATGTGTAAAATGTATGTGCACAGAAAATTCAAGTTCTGAAACACAGCTAAAGACATGAAGTGGAGAGTCAGCCAGAGCTTACTGCTGGGGAACACCAAAAAGAGGAAGAAAATTTTATGGTATTAGCAGTCATTTTTTTTTAAATATAAAGACTGGTATAAAATACTTACACAGTTTCAGTCATTAATTATGACAGGTTTTTGTGGGTTCCTAGGTTCAGTCGGGGGGAGAGGGGGGGGTAGACCCACTGCCCACCCAGCAAGCATGTCATAAATTTTGACTAAGTAAAGGTTTGCTGAAGTCGATATGTTGGGCCGAAAGGCACAGATATGGCAGACTAGCTGTAAACCACAACACTGCATGCCAACCAGCCTTTTAAAGGACGATCACAGAAGAATATATCCGGTTACAGGAAATCAGAAGTTTTGATCATGGTCAAAACTAATCAGAAACAGCTTTATCTGCACTGATAATGGAGTTAGTGGTAAAGGTCGTACACAATGAAATAGTGAGGCCAGCAAACAGTTGCTTGCATTCAGCTACACAAAGACTATCCAAAATGCTGTAACTAGATCATGACCAAAAACCTCTGTCTGATCTGATTTTGTCCAAAAACCAATGTCAAAATTGATTTTAACATTGATATTCAGGTAAATTAACACCTATAGGAAGAAGGAAGCTACGAATTGGTCTTTGTTTCATATTCAATACTTTTAACATATTTTCTTACATAATTAGGTTCATAGTGTTCATATTCAGTACTTTGAACTTATTTTCTTACATGATTAGGTTCATAGCGTCTTAAGAGTTTTAAACAGTAGGAACTAAAGGAAACCTTTTCGCATTATTAGTACATCAGGCATATGGTGCTAAACACATATTTGGGCTCTCCTTTAAATAACGGTCCCAAATGATCTACGCAGAAAGTTAACCCTAACAGAGCCTCATTACGTCCTACCCTACTAAGATTTAAAAGTTGTAGCTCGGAAAATATAAGGAACGAAAAGTATGAGGAAAACGGCAAAGTCTACTACTTACCGACAGTTAAATCCTTTATATGTGAAAATTGCGGCACAGAAGTTGCAAATAGTGCCCGAATATCTGTTCTTTCTGTCTGTCCGCCATTTCAACAGGGCGCGGCTTGTTAGCGATTCTTGTTCCAGGTGAGACATAATCAATATGTGCGTTTTAATGTACGCGCACATCGCCTCGGGGCAACTTAAAACCAGCAGTCGCCTCGAGACAACTTCACTATCCCGACCACACCGTGGCGAATGCGACCACGCTGGCAGTTGCGACAGAAGAAGTAGCTCATGACTGTTTCCTTGCGACTATAGTGCCACATCACAAGCAAAAACAATGGAGGAAGCTGCAGGAGAAGCGGAAGCTGCTGCTCGTGAGTCCCAGCCATCTAGTTTAGCCCCTTCCGCGCGTAGCGGCACGGGGTTATACTCTCAGAAGTGGCTCTATAGTCGGCGAAAAGTGGTCCGCAACTCACATATAACTGTGGCTCTGCTGTAGGAATGTGCTATCGGGAGTATTCTTGCGTGTTGCTAATTTTTCGTCTGTAGTTAATCCAGTTTTGCCGCCGTTTTAATCATCCTAAAAAAGTATGTTGCGTTTCGCGAAAATGTCGTACGCAATTAATCCTACTTTTGACGCGATAGATTCGCCGGGAAAAGAAATGTGAATTTTAGATATGAGTGAGGCTCTGTTAGGGTTAACTTTCTGCGTAGATCATTTGGGACCGTTATTTAAAGGAGAGCCCATATTTGTATGCTGACACTCAGTGGATGATGAGGCCAGCAGCATGCAACAACCTTTAAATAGGTCAGCCACGGAGGTCTGGGTTGGTTATAATAGTCAGACTTAAAATGGATTCAAATTCAAGACATTTAAGCCATAAGGCAAGCTTTTAGCTACTGCTCCCTTATTTTATACATTAATCCTGTTGGCCCGGTCAAGCTAAAAAGACAAATAAATTGGTCATGAACCCATGGGAATTCCCCAACAAGTGTTTTTAAAAAAACAGTTTTACACAGATCAGTAATGCATTTTGTAAAAAAAAAATTTGTATATATAAAAAAAAATTGTGTCTCCGAAATATAGAAAGGTATTTGAGAGGCGGAGCATTAATCAATAAACATAAAGAGAGGCAAACAGATTAATACATTCCCAGACGCCTAAAAAACAGTAGGTGTTGGGTTGACCTCTATGACTGAGGTTTATGGGAAAATCTAACATCAGCTTGGCTTAAAAAAGTTATTTGGTTCACAGGAAAACTCCCTAAATTCTACTTTTAGCTAATATATTCATGTCCTGGCCTCCTAAGCGTCTGCACAGGTAGAACTCGTCATTTACTTGCTTCTCATATAAAGAGACAGGGAGGAAATATGACATTACAGTGAATTGGACCCAACAGGGAGTGTCGGCTTTGTTGCTTCTCGGAGCAACAGGATTAAAAGACATTTTTAAAAATCAGCTGATTAAAAAATCAGACTGAATTTTTTAAGCTTTAAAGTGATTACTACTATATTGTGGTGCAGATCCAGATTCTGCTGAGTCGTCTGCACTTGGTAGAAGTTATATACTTATGAATGTGCAGGTCATTTTATTTTCAAGTATTTTTTTAAACATTTATTTGTTTGTAATATTTCTCTTGTATTTAATATGCTTTCAGATGCTGACAGTGGGGACCATAGTCTGCATTCCTATTTTCATGATCCATTAAATGGTGTATACAAGCTTTACTTTCACGCTGTCTGCTTTGGGAGCAATTTGGAGAAAGTGCCAGTCCACAAAATTAAGATGCCAGATGATCTTGTTTCAGACCAAATAAGTGAAAAGTAAAGTTACAAGACTTTCATTATTTTATTGATGCCTATACATATGAGACAATGAGACAGTCCTTATTAGAGCTATTTAGCTGGTGGCCCATGGATCTTTGCCAGTTATGTTGTATAAATAATCTGTCTATGCTCTGGTTCTGACGATTCTTATTTTCAACTATTTTGGCCCCTGAGTAAACTTATTTGAATAGCCCTGGTCTAATTTGTGGATTTCATTGACTAGTAATCTTAATTTTTAACATGCGCTTAACATAATTTGCATGTATCTTTGACTTGGGAGTTGTGAACACAGTTTCATAATTACTATATCCCATATCAGTATGCCACAGGCAATTTTGCAGCACATGGTGTTGCATTGATTTTGAAGTGATATGGGCATTGACCATGCAGGAAACAATGGGAAACCCTGTTCATATATATATATATATATGTATAACCTCAAACAACATACATTGTTCATTTGTTATTTGACAGCCTGTAAGGATATGGAAATAACTCTAGAATTGCTATTCAGTTGGTTGCCTGCTGGCTGGATTCAGCCTGTAGAGGTCCACCAATTGGCCTGTGGATCATTGCTAGTTGTACTGTATTCATGATCTTTCCTTAAAGGAGCCCATGATGATCCTCATTTGGAACATTTTTGGCCCTGGGGTAAATTTAGTTAAATAGCTCTGCTCTAGGGCATCATAATAGAAAGTAAAATACGAGGGGAAGTCAACAGGTAAGTTCACAAATGGTTATGGGATGGCTGGAAAATGTAGTTAGTGGTTTCTAATGATGTCATTAGGTGACAGCAACATCTATCTTTGTCTGCGTTTGTTAGGTGGCGCTAGGTGTTGTATGCGCATTCACAACCATTTGTGACTTACTTATGGACTTCCCCTCGTATGTAAGATACTGCATTTACAGGAAGCAAAATTGTAAAATTAAAATGCATAAAGCATTGTTTAAAGAAAGAGCTTCTTTGCTAAATGAGTATTCATCTTCTGTGTTTCGCCCCTAAAAATGCATTTGGCGTGTAGCGGTTTGCAGCTAGGCTGTGATATGTGCACCTATTGCCCAACATGTCTGATTTCAGCAAATCCCTACTTAGTCAGCATGATTGTAAGGGGCAGAACAGCTGTTTTTTTTGTTGCACCTGAGATGGGGACCCAGGAACTCAACAGGGAGTTTGCTAAACACTAATAATAACAGCATATCTTCTTTTTCCCTCTAGTCCCTGTAATGTGGCACTGGTAGTCATCTCCTGTCCACAGCCTTCTATCTTGTGTATTTTAACCAGTTCTTACACAAATGATCTTCTATGCCATAATGTCAGACCATCTAGCATCTTCTCTCTTAGTGTCTCTTTGTCTCTGTTCCCTTTCAGTTTTCCCACCATCATGAGGTACTCCAGTTTTCTCTTTCTCATTGCTTGATCAAAGAATGTAGATTGCCTCCTTCTGATGTGGGCAGTCATTTTTCTTTGAGAGTCAGTTTCTTTATCCAGTCTATAAAACCACATCATAGCTGCTTCCACATAATATTTCACTAACCTGCCAACTGTCCATGATTCACCTCCCTATATCAGGATAGGAATTATGGAGCTCTTGAGAATTTTCTTTCTCCCCCTAGGTAACAACGAAAGATTGCATAGAATGTTCTTAATATTGTGAAATGCTGCCTTTGCTTGAGCATTAAACATCTTCAATATATCCTCCCTCTGCTGTTAATCAGGGTACCCAAGTAGTTGAAACCTGTCAACTTGCTTGAGGGTACCAGTATGTCTGACAGTGACTTTTCACTAGTATCCTTTGCTAAATGAAACAAATAATGGGAAAGTATAAATTACAACCTAATGTACAATTCTAAAAAAATCTTTCAGCAAGCAGGATCAGACTGTTGAAGCATTCATAAGTAGCCTTCTTAAAGACCAGAGCCACCTTTACACCAGCTTCCGGTTCATCATTGATTCATCATCCAAAGATGAATATAGCATTGTGCTTCTGGTGAGTGTACATGAGCACTATTTAATTTGACTGATTCTCATCACGGTGTACTTTTGCTGCTAATGAATTAACATGTAAACAGTCTGACATCTGTGATATTCAGCTAGACATTGCTTGTAAAATTATACTTGATGTTACTGTAACAATTCCATGAGGTTCTTTGGGGATCTTTAAGATTTTTGTCCATAAGTTGCCGAGCTTCTGAGAAAAAGCTTGTTTAATACATGTTGTAGCAACAGTGGTCCTGAAATTCCCATGTTCTAATTGTAGGAGACTTCTTAGTGTGGACGGAGTCTTGTTAGTCACACTCAACATCGCCATAGGCTGTGATTCGAATGCTTCCCTGTAGCACTATATAACACTATCATCTAGAAAGACGGAGACGTGCCATAACATGCACTGCAAAAAGTACAACGATTTAAATTACTTTTTAGGCAAGCTCTTCTGCACCGAGCAAGGAAGAAAAATGGCTTAATGGATAGTGCATTTGCCTGATAACACAGTAATCTGAGTTCAAAATCCTTTTTGAAGTAGGATGATTTTTTTTCTGACTAGGTAATGATATTAACTTTGCAGTATTCTTTTAATTCACTCAGTGGCCCATAAAATCCTGCTTCCACCAATGTTTCTCATGGCCAGAAGTTTTGTCTTGTCATATAGTATTTAGGACAGTTTTAGAGGACATGATCTGTTATCTCAGGAGCCAATTCACACATGCACATGGCCAGTTCATCATCATCATCATGTGCCCTGCCATCTGACATAGGTGCTCATGTGTCTCCACAGATCACACTCTCTTGATGATATCCCTCCATGCCATCGTTGCAGCCCATCCAGCTTCATCTCTCTTGGTCTGCCTCTACCCCCTTTTCCCACTGATTTTTCCAGTTGTCACGATGTTCTCCAATGTCTCTCTTCTCATTATGTGGCCAAAGAACATTGTTTGTCTCTTTATCTCGGTATGGCCACTTCACCAATCTTAAATTTTTGTGTAGTCTATTGGGCCAGGTACTGAGGAGTAGAATAATGACTTGCTTTGTTCTGTCCATAATATGGTAATCATTATGTGCTGGTGTTGGTGAATTTTTGATTGATTTGACTATTCTCTTCTTTTGTTGATAAGAGACCAGTGTGTCAGGTTGTTCTTCAGTTGCACCTTCCTTAGCTAGATCAGAACTATGTGTCTTTTTTATTTTTTATTTTTGATACTTTGGTGGAAATATGTAAATATATTTTCCTTTTCACTCTGTTGAACTTTCTAGTAAAAATCTGCATTGTTAAGTCACTATTCAATTTTGAAACAGATTTCAAGTTTTTGTAATGTGAGCAAGTTCACTCCATAATAAATTAGTCTTTGCAGCTACTTCTGTTGGCAGTTTTTCCATTGACTTCCCCATTCATATAATCTTCTTCTTCACGTCACCAAAACTCCGACAAAAGTTATAGTTGTTCATCCACTTCTGGACTGCAGTCCTATTCCAGAACCTAAGTGTTGCATGTGTATCTGTTTTACAGATCTGACTAATTTGTATGCAGACTGCTGGTTCCTTGCCTCTCAGGCAGATGCACTCCAACTTTGAAGGAAGCTCTCAGTTAGTCGACTCTTACGACATGCTTTTGGGTAGGCAGTGGGTCTATTCTTGTTTTCCCAATAACAGGGCCCCGGAACCCACATGGGCACACACATATAATATATTCTATAATAATATTCTGTTTTAGATAACATTGATATAAGTTATGTAAACTAATGGTGTTTATCATAGTCTTTGGTCAGCATATAATGAATGTTGCTGTTTTGTTGTGGCCACTGTCTGTGGAATTGACTCAAAAGCATGTGTGTACCAGATATTATTCTGGCAAGGTAAAGACCCAAATTTAGATCTGTTCAAATTATCCTCCATATGCCCATTCTATCATCAACACTATGTGTGTGTCCCCCCCCCCCCAAAATAAAAAATAACTATTATGTATGACATCAAGGATATTGTTAACCGAATTGACTTACTTAGATTTAACTATATAGATATATATATATATATATATATATATATATATATATATATATATATATATATATATATATATATATATATATATATATATATATATGTATATATGTGTATGTGTGTGTCATGAGACAACTTATAATTTTCACTTATGTATTTTCCTGACAGCTCTGGCTCCTGGATCAAGAACTGACAGTGTTTTTATCATCAGTAACTTCGGCTTCAGTACCAATGCATTCTCAGGTTACGCCGCTCAGTTTAGCTGCATGTAAATATATGAAGTTGTTATATAAAGTTACATTCCTGCCTTCAAATGGATCTCAACCAGTGTAAGTTTCAGATAACAGGAAAGAGTAAATGTTGAATGTCTGTGAGCAGTTGTTTAGCTTTAATTATTTTATTTCATATTTGGGTTCTTCTGTGTGTTTTTTTTTTCTTAAATCTTTTGTGGTAGCTGTTTTGAGTATGAAATTATTATTGAGAAGCATGAAACTTAGTCATTATTTATAGCAGACAATGACCATAGTTTTTTTTTTTTTTCTAATGGTAAGCAATGGTACACAGTATGAGCACCTTTTTTTAAAGCATTCTTGTTTTTGCGCTATTGTAATAGATAGTTTGTGGTGAGTACCTCCACCTTTTATAAGACATTTTATGGTGAGTACTGGCCCCCTTTTTTTTTTAGAAAGAAAGCTATGTCTGTCATAAATGATGTTTTTTTCATTCTCAATCAGGAGGGCAACTTTATGGCTTGCCCCACGTTACTAAAAAGATTTATTTTTCGTATTTAGAGTCATCACATAATAAAAATGCCCAAGAATGCTCTGGTACTATCTACCACAGAAAGCCACACTAAAACATTACAACGAGTATAGAGCGAATGGAAGACCTTGGAAAATAGGGAATGATGGCATTAAGAACAGCCTTACAGAAATGAACATCAGTCTTAATAGTGCTCTTGACAGAGCTCATCAATGAATGTTACATCTTCCTCCAACACTTCGCTGAGGTACAGGGTGGAAGAGAAGAAGAAGAAGAATCATCATTTTTTTTAAATAAACGAAGGCAAGCAATCACTGAATACAAATAGAGCCACAAAATATAACATGTTTTCTTACCTTCGACCAAGAAAACTAGTGTTGTTGACAGGCACAAAGGTCAAAGTAACATCATCATGAGTTTATTATGTCACAATAACAAAACTTTTTCATTTTTTAAAACCCTAAATAATGTCTAAGAAGAAAAATGTTTTCTGTTATATAGGAATACTGGCTACTACTCAAAGATAGTATGTTAAAAATCGGAAAACTGGCTTTTTATGATTAACTCACTGGTTCCTTTGGGGCCAAGCTGATATTCAAGACAACACCAAGCAAATTGAAAATAAAGTCTCTTTGTGGGTTCTTGAACACCACTTGGAAAGGGGGCGGGGCATGTCATAAAAAGCAATTAAAGAAGATTTTGCTGAAATTGGATGTCCAGCCCAAAAGGTATAAATTTTGCAGTCCATTTGTAAACCACAACACAAAATATGCCAGTCGCTTTTGTTAGAGTGCTTGCAGAAGAAACCAAATTAGACCCTTGACAGTTAATCAGATGTTTTTTCATGTTTCAGGCAAGCATCACCATCTACTGTGTTCACAGCCTGGAAGAAGGATAACACCGTCCATAGTATCTCCCTGCCATACCCTTTATGCAAACAGCTTGTCAGCCTTCTGGTGTCCAGTACCAAGCAGCTGACCAGGTCACAGCGTAACCTCAATGGGTTTCATGTATGTGTTTCTGACTTTAATTGTTGTTTTATTTTGAGATATTTAATCCAGGTAATCATGATGCCATCTATTGCTTAGGCGTTGCGAACGCGCTTCGTAGTTCCTGGTTTGATCCCAGCTGCTGGCCTTGCTGTGGTTTCGACAGTGGTATCGAGAAGCCGACCATCCAGAAAGCAGTGGCAAACTACTGGAAGTAAATTTGCCTAGAAAAACCACAGCAGCCAAAAAATTATGGCGTTGGTTCTGCTACGTCCCGTAAAGGATACGCAACTAACTACTAATTGCAGTAGTCCCTTGCAGTCTCAGGCTCATAGCAAAGGTCACCCCATAGTTGTTCCATTTCTGTGCCAGCAAAAAATTGTACAGTGTCCATCACTGTCTGAGCAAACTCTATAGCATACACATGCATTAAATGCATAAGGTAGCCTTAAAATATACCAGCACATACAGTCCTGCACTAGAAAGGCAGTTCATCTTCAGTGTAAGCAGCAGTTACACAGATCAGTAGTTGCACATGCAGTTGATTGCATAAGGCATTACCAGTTCTCTAGCAATAGGTCACTTGCCATTTTCTGAATGCATTTCACAACACAAACCACATTAGGCGCAGCCGAAAAGCATTCCAAATGAATTCCGCAGCTGAGGTATTTAATTGGAATTTGTTTAGTGTAGGAAAGACAATTGTATGTTACCTTGCTGTTTTTTTGTTGGTTAATGATTGCCTTGGACTGGACTGTTAATTTTTGTATGAAATTGTTTGGTAGTTGGGTTCCATTCCAGCACACAAGAAATACTTTTCAAGCATTCCATTCGAGGTCTGCTTTCAATATTGTAAATTGATGTGATGCTCTTACTATCTTGCACTAGTATTTTGCTATTGACAGACTTCATTGCACAGCAAGACGGCCGGTCATCTGCTATCATTATTGTAAATTGCTGTGACGCTTTTACTATCTTGCACTAGTATTTTGCTATTGACAGACTTCATTGCCCGAGATCACAACTGACATCTTTCCATTACCTCAGAACTTCTGCATTAGCCCTTAAAAGGGCGGTTGGCATGATGTGTTGTAGTTTACAGCCTGACTGCAGGATCTGTACTTTTCAGCTCACAACATCTAGTTTCAGCAAATCTCTAATTAGTCACCTTTTACAGCATGCTTATTTGGACACACATCTATTCTTTGACCCCTACCCTGTTTGGGGTCCCACAACACACTCGGAGAATTACTTCAAACAATACAATTAATTTAACGGTTAGTTTGATTTGAAATAGGTAAATATTTTGCTTTTGAGAACACTATATATATATATATATATATATATATATATATATATATATATATATATATATATATATATATATATATATATATATATATATATATATATATATAGAGTATATGTATATATAGAGATATACATAGAGGGAGATAGAGAGATAGATATTACTCACCTATGCTTCTGGTTTGTTTGCAGGTTGGTTACTTAAAATGTGAGCTGACCTGAATATGTTGCCACTGATGAGAGACAACTGACAGAAATGTTTTAACTTTTTATATTTGCAGTGTGCTTTTCTGAGATTAACTGTTGCTCATTATCTCTCTCTCTCTCTCTCTCTTTCTCTATCCCTCACATGACTTCCGTCATTCCTACATCCTTCTTGTTTTAGCAGTCACCTTATTACATAAATCCACTTCTGTGGCTAAAATGAGACATTATGATTGCCTGAACAACATCTGGCCAAGCAGTTAGGACAAAGAGTTCTCATTGCAGAGACCTGGGTTCAGTTCTTTGGTAAGCTAATATGATTTTTAACTTCTTATAGTCCATGCCGTGTAGCACTGGCTGTCATGTCTGTCCACAACCTTCTGTCTTGTATACTTTCAGTCAGTTCTGACACAGATGATCTCAGACTGTCCAGTAATTTCTCTCTTTGTCTCCCTGTGTCTCTTTTTTCCTCCAACTCTCCCATCATCTTGATATACTCCTGTTTTCTCATTCTCAACACCAAATAATTTATATTTGTATCTTTTGGGCCAAAAATAAGTCCACAGTTCATGGTTACTGTTCTGGCTGTGTAGCCCTGTCTGCGATGCTGTCTAAAAATGGTCTTAAACCACACTAAATTATGGTATCATATACATCATATGTAGGACAATAAAAGACAATTAATGTCTATTTTTTTCATGTATCCAGAAACCATGAGTTATAAAGCTCGGTTTTGTGCAACAGTTGCAGTTAATCTGGGAAATTCTGCTTTTTAGGTGAGTGAACCCGGACCACAAGGAGTTCGTCTTCAGTTTAACCAACTTCGTATTCATGCTACCTATAAAACCGTTTTTCTTCTAATCAGATTCTGTTTTTAGGTTGTCTTCACGGAATTAAACCGTGTTTCTTCTTGTTATTTCAGTCACCCTCACAATATTGATTAAGTTGTGCTACTTACTAAGATTTTAGTCTGCTGGTGAGGCTATATTGTCAGTCTTTTTTGGACCACATATGCTGTTAAGCCAATCTCGCCATGTCATTTTTGTCAGAATTAAGCTCTTGAAAGTATATGTGAGCAGATCAAGGACAGTAGATGTATGTTGAAGATAAATTGTTGACATTAATTTTAAGATGTAGTTCATCTATAACCTGCCATTAATATGTATATGTATACCTTTTTATGCCTTGTTTTTAATGTTTTGTTTTTCTCCATTTTATTTTTCAGCATTAGTTCTATATATTTCTTTATGTAAATACGTTTTAAGTGTAAATATACACAGACCAATAATAAATGTTATTTACGAAAGAATCTTTGACCTAAGTACAAGATTTGTTAATTTGTGCATGCCTTTCCCTGTTTTCATTTGAAGATGAAAAGCATTTTGTCTTCCTCTTAAAAGAAAAAATAATTGCAGAAAGAAATTATATTTCTACTGTCTGCATTATTTTGATAATGGTATGAGTGTCAGCTGTTTAGTGAGCAATGGGAACAATACTGAACATAAAATTGTGTTATAAAACCAGTCAGCCAAAAACTGCTAAAGTTTGTGATGCCTTTTAAAAAAACAAAAAACAAAACAGTTTCAAATTAGAGTTATTTTTGCATGAAACAAGTAGTAAAACGAGTGTAACATTTAACACCCTGTTCAACCCTTTAAAATAAAAACTGTATTAACTCTTTGAGTCCCAAGGAACGTATCATACATTCATAGATTCCTACCTACAAGCCCAATGAATGCAAGATGCGCCGATTTTACGTCTCTCTTGACTACCCCTTGGGCCTGTGATGCTAAGCCTACTGGGACTCAAAGAGTTAAAATAATTTTCACCGGTGAACAATTTATATACATGTTAAAATATTACTAAATCCTAGGTGTCCGAATCTTTTTTTTCATTCAGAATAAGGCAGCAGTAATTGTTATTTTTGTTTTCATCAAATAGTGATGTGTTTGTCACCATAACAATTACTTTATATTTTAACCAGCAGTTCAGTTTTATTATGGCTGCATTATCATCTGCGACATAAACGACTGTGTTGATTGTTGTAGTAAAAAATAAATGCAAATAGCTGGATGCCTCATTGAATGTTGAGGTGTATATGTAATATTGTTATCCAACTTCCATAAACTTACTGATGATAATTGATTATCAGAGTGCTTTAAGTTTGTCCACAAAGTAAGGAATACAGCAGTGTACAAATGAATGTGTTTTTATTAGTTTGCAAAGAGTTCTAAAAAATGCATTATTGCTAAGGAACATGACACAATTTCTAAAAAACATTAAAGTTTTCATAGTTGAGGTTTGAAGCATGTTTTGATATCCCAAAAAAATAGTTG